GTCATCTTTTAAGATTTTAAATAGTTCCACTGGAATGCCATCACCTCCACTGGCCTTGTTGTTAGCCAAGCTTTCTAAGGCCTACTTGACTTCATTCTCCAGGATGTCTGGCTCAAGGTCAGCAACCACACTATCTGGGTTGTCCGGGACATCCAGATCTTTCTGGTATAATTCTTCTGTGTATTTTTGCCACCTCTTCGTGATGTCTTCTGCTTCTGTTAGGTCCCTTCCATTTTTGTCCTTTATCATGTACATCTTTGCACAAAATGTTCCTTTAATATCTCCAATTTTCCTGAACAGATCTCTGGTTTTCACCTTTCTGTTATTATCCTCTATTTCTTTGCAGTGTTCGAAGTCTGCATTCAGTTTTCTGTACCTTTCCCTATATCCCTTGCATTATGTTTCCCTTCTCTTCTCTACTATGTGTAAGGCCTCCTTGGACAGCCACTTTGCTTTTGGAATTCCTTTTCTTTGAGATGGTTTTTGTTGCTGCCTCCTGTACCATGTTACAAGCCTCCATCCATAGTTCTTCAGGCACTCTATCCATCAAATCTAGTTCCGTAAATCTGTTCTTCACTTCCACTGTGTATACATAAGGGATTTGGTTTAGATTATACCTGACTAGCCCAGTGGTTTTTCCTACTCTCTTCAGTTTAAGCTTGAATTTTGCTATGAGAAGCTGATGATCAGAGCCACAATCAGTTCCAGGTCTTGTTTTTGCTGACTGTATAGAGCTTCTCCATCTTTGGCTGCCGAGAACATAATCAATCTGATTTCAGTATTGCCCATCTGGTGATGTCCATGTGTAGAGTCACCTCTTGTGTTGTTGGAAAAGAGTGTTTGTGATGACCAGCTTGTTCTTTTGACAAAACTCTGTTAGCCTTTGCCCTGCTTCGTTTTGAACTCCTAGGCCAAACTTACCTGTTGTTCTTTTTGTCTCTTAACTCCCTACTTTAGCATTGCAGTCCCCTAGAATGACAAGAACATTTATTTGGTGGCAGTTCTAGAAGGTGTTGTAAGTCTTCATAAAATTGGTCAGTTTCAGCCTCTTCAGCACCGGTGGTTGGAGCATAAACTTGGATTACTGTGATGTTGAAAGGTCTGCCTTGGATTTGTACTGAAATCCTTCTCTCATTTTTGAGATTGTGTCCCATTACCACTTTTTCCACTCTTTGGTTGACTACGAGGGCTACTTCATTTCTTCTATGGAATTCTTGCCCACAATAGTAGATATGGTGATCATCTGAACTGAATTTGCCATTTCCGTCCATTTCAGCTCACTGGCGCCCAAGATGTCAATGTTTATTCTTACCATCTCCTGTTTGACCACATTCAGCTTATCAAGGTGCATAGATCTTACATTCCAGTTCCCTGTGCAGGATTTTTTTTTGCAGCATCGGACTTTTCTTTCACTTCCAGGTGCGTCCGCAGCTGAGCGTCCTTTCGGCTTTGGCCGAACCACTTCATTATCTCTGGAGCTACTTGTACTTGTCCTCCGCTCTTCCTTAGTAGCATGTTGGACACCTCCCGACCTGAGGGGCTCATCTTCCAGCATCATATCTTTTAGCCTTTTATTTCTCTCCATGGAGTTTTCTTGGCAAAGGTACTGGAGTGGCTTGCCAGTTCGTGCTCCAGGTGGATCGTGTTTAGTCAGAACTGTGCACTATGACCTGTCCGTCTTGGGTGTCCCTACATGGCATAGCCCATAGCTTCTCTGAATTACTCAGGCCCTTTCGCCACAAAAAGGCAGCAATCTGTGAAGGGGATTTTTTACTTACTTTACATTTTTACATACTTTAAAACACACTTTGAAAGAGTTTGCCCATATGTGTCCGAAGTCACATATGCCTTGCATTTTTGTTTTTAAAAAGAGTGGGGTGGGGAGGTTTGCCACCACTACAGCAGCAAATTCATTATGGGTAATGGAATCTTTCAAGTGGTCTGATCATTTAAAAAAAAATAATAAAATGTAATCCAGAATAACAAGCTAATAACATGCTATTTTGCTCATTACTTGTAAGTGGCAAATAATAGGAATGAGTAATGTATTGGTCATAAAATTGACAGCATTCCCACCCTTAAGTAATGTTTCCAAGCGCTGTTGGATCCCACTGAAACCTCGATTACGATCATACTGACAGCAGAAATATGAGGAATTCTTACTTAGAAGCAAGTCACAGTGTGTTCTGCTGAGTAAAAAGAAATCAAAATGTACCTTATACATTCATAGAAAATTGGATTTTCCTCTCAAATAAACTAGTCACAGGAACCAGAATATTTTACTTATAATATTTTTTTAAAAAAATGAATGTTGATTGCGAGCACGAAAAAATTGTTCTCCATTATAAAGGAAACCTTATAGCAAGCTAGCTGATGGGTTCCACACGTCCTCCAACATTTACCTGCTGCTGAAAACAGCAGCTGGTAAATTATATTTTTCACTGGCAGAAGATGCAACTATGTGCATAAATATTAGGCAAAGAAGTAACAGAACTGTGGGTGCCCAGACAAACTGCAATGTCAGAAAGTGAACTCATCCCCTCTCACATACCTCACCCATCATCTGACTGAGATAGTTTTTGCAAAATAAAATTATTGATCTTACACTGAAATAAACAACAAAATAGTAAGTAGTCTAATTTTTCCCATGCCTGCTTGTATATTTCTGCCTCCTATCTCCACATAGTCTTGTCATTTCTTCATAATATCTTTCCCTTCTTAAATGCGAGAAATTAAATATCACATGTATTGCAGTGTTACTATAAAATAATGTTGTCCAAGGAGTCAAAAAGTAAATTAACATTTTATCTCTTACACAGAGGTCATTAACGACAAGGAGAAACTTCTGCCACACACAGTTTCTTTTTGAGATAAGTTATTCAATTGGAAAATTATTCCCTTTAGATACGACTTACATGACCCTTTTCTGATGTGCATTGTTCTCCAGGAGTTAAACATTTGCAGCTTTTCAAACTGAAGAAAGCTACATGTGTTGAAGCCTTTAGTGTTTTTATTGTCCCTCTAACATAGCTTGTTCTGTCACATCAATAAAATGCCCTAGTTTTCATCAGATCCAAGCACTATTTATTAAGAGTAAACCCCTTCCCATGCAGCCTGATCCTATGTATATCTACTTAGAAGTAAGCCCCACTAATTTGAATAGTGCTTACTTTTAAGTAAACATCCACAGAATTCTAGTCCTCAATTTTTTTTACACACACACACATGCACGCATGCATGCACACACACCTCTAACATTTTATTTCTGTGTCCTGGTTGTTATATACTTGATGGCTAACAACTGAATGTTTGAACTGAGACAAAGAATTTGAGGTGATGTGAGGAAGCTGAAAAGTCTTATCTGCTCTGACTGTGGTGGCCCATTCACCCATGTAAGTCATCACTTGCTATTACAGCCATTACACAATCAATATGCCAGCTTGAATCTGCTTTTAGAATTGCAAATTGTAATTTTAAAAATTCAGCCAACTGAGTTTTTTGGGTTTTGAAACATACTAATGACACACAAATAATAAACACGAAGCCTCTACATTTCAGTGGAATTTAGTTTCCTAGTAAATTCAGAGAGCATTGGTGTAATCGCTAAAGCTTGGAAAAGCTACTTTTTTGGACAACATTTCTCAGAGCACTTCTGTGGCATAACCTATCCAGAGTCTAATAACAGATGTACTCTGTAATGGGAATGACTGAGCAATGGTCAGGAAACTCCACTTACAGGTAGATTTTCCATGGGTTTTCTCACAATTCGGACAGTGGTAGATATCAATATCTGGTGCCTCATCTTCTTCTACACCAACACAACTGCAAGGAAAAAAAGGGAAAAAAAGTCATTGGCAATCCTTCTTCAAAGGCACAAACAGGAAAAATGATCAAACCTTTCAAGGCATAAGTAAGCATGCCCAAGATTCAATCTACTGAGAATGATCCATTACTTGATGACACAGTTCATTATTTGCCACAGCCATTCCCTACTGGAAGAGTACTGTGTTTCTACATCTCTCCCTCCTTTCTCCTCACAAGCAATTATGTTGTCCAGACCTGGTTCATGAGAACACAGTGGGCCAGCCAGTCCCCTAAAACTCTTCAGCATCACACTGTTGCTCTATGACCAATGGGTTAATTATAATTAATATAAAAGTCATGCCTTTCTTCTGAGGCAAGCCAGACAATAAGGACCTGAAGTGCTGCCTTTAAAAACAAACAAACAAACAAACAAACCAAAACAAGCATGTCTGAATGGGTCCCATTGGGGAAGACTCGTTAGGGATCTCATCGGATCCTTTCCCTTCCCCAAAACCTTCTTGCATAGATATGACTTTCTTCAGTTCTCTGCTCTCTGGATTATCATCTGGCAGTTGCTCTACAAATCTGCAGATACATTTTCATGGGTTTTTTCCCCCTTTAATAGTATGTGTGGCTTCAAAATAGACAGATGGATTCCTTTCAATGGTCTACACTACATCTTACCAGTCACTCTATCAGAGAACATAAATACGAACATAATAAAACTGAACCTTTTTTGTATTGTATGTTAACAGGGATTCTGTTATCCATAATCTGCAGTAAATTTTAAGGATATAACAACTCCTGCAGAATTTTTGTACAGTAGATCAATTCAAACAAACCTAGCCATTCCAGTAGTGCTGAAAATCCTAATAATACTGTGGAGTGCAAATTTTACTGATATGATAATTATCAAACACAAAGGCCAACATCCTGTTACCTGATGCAAGTAATAAGTTTGGGTCCATTCCTTTCTGGTAAATAAAGGGCCCCCAGTATGATTCTCAGGGGGTGGGGGGGGAGATGCATGTACACACCAAGCCTGCAAGGGTGCACAGCCCCAAGAATTGTGTATGGGCCTCTTTATTTAACAGTGAAGAACAGAATATTAATTCTGACTCTGATTGTTTTACGGAACAGGATTTTGGCCAAAAATAATAAATTAAACTTCAGCAGTATTGTACGAGTACATTTATGCAAAGTCTCAGTTCCAAGTATACCACCTCTGCATTCCACTGGCAGAACACACATCAGTGGTGGAGAACTATCAGTTTACAGGGCAGATGGACAAGGTTAACAGTGAAGATGATAAACAATAGCACACCTTAGTCTCTTTCTCGGCAGCCAGCTTGCTACCAATAGGAATGAACTGCAAATAGAAATATATTTAACATGCAACTAATTTTTTCTAAGCTGGCTGGGCAGCTCATTGAATTAGCTATCTGGTTGCAGAGCCAGAGGTTAAGAGTTCAATTTTTCCACTGCATATTCCAGAAAAACCAGCTCATGTGGCCTGGGCAAGCCGCACAGTCCCCGGATGCCTCCAAAGGAAGGCAACAGTAAACCACATCAGCGTGCTCTGTACCTAGAAAACCCTGGAATGGACATCATAGGTCAGAACTGACTTGATGACACACAATTATTATTAATAATTTCATCTCATGTTATGTATCTACTTACATATAAAGATGCCTATTTTGCCTATTTGTTTTCATCGCAGTGCATGTTTTTTTCTAGGGCAACATTGTAATACCCTTACAATTCCTATCTCTAGAAAATCAGTTCACCACAATGTTGAATCAATCAATGCACTCTTTCTTACAAAATATGGATTCATTCTGATCCTAGAATTTCTGGTTTGCACAAGATATTTTGGTACCAAGCTCTAGCTCTGCTTCACAGAGAGGAACAAAATGTAGGTCACAATACTTTTGGATATGCAAAAAGGAGGCTTCTCACATGATGGATGCGCAGGACACACATTGATGTCCATGTTATCAAGTATGCAGAAATATAGTATATGTGCAGATAGATTAAATATAGATTATGTGCAGATAGCCAAAACTATCTGCACATAATCCGATGGCTAATCATTCTATAGGAGGAACAAAGAAACTAAATTGCAAAGGAACCATTAAAAAGTCTAAATCCGTTAAAGAACAACAAAAACTACACCATCATCATTGTTGCAGCCTAACCAAAGCTACAAGACAGAGAGTCAACCTGACAAAATGTTATCTCTGAAACATCTCAACTTATAGATGCTTTTCATTGGCTTCTACCTGGCAACATGAAATGGACAAACCATATTAAATTGATCAAGGCAGTTGCAAAAGCAGTCAGAATAGCTTCTGGTAACCACTACTGGCCCAGCTCCATTCGAGACCTGCTGGAATTCAGGCTATGCTAGACTCATCCCTGGTTTTATGAAAAGGTGTAACACAGTGGTTTTTAACCTTTGTTACTCGGATGCTTTTGAACTGCAACTCCCAGAAACCCCAGTCAGGACAGCTGTTGGTGAAGGCTTCTGGGAGTTGCAGTCCAAAACTCCTGAGTAACCCAAGGTTAAGAACCAGAGGTGTAACATATCTGTTGCTGTTCTCTGGGATGTTCAGCAGGAAAGCATGGAAGTTATAACTGCAATCCATAATCAGCATGGAGCTATTCGAAGAAAAGATGTCAAAAAACAAGCATCAGTTCAACTGACATTGCTAGTGCTTCTTCATAGATTGGGTCTTCCTGTTTCTTCATTGATTGCATTGCACTAGTGCTCTTGTAGTGAAACTTTATCTTGGCTGACTGTGTAGCTCTTAGATCCAACATATTATCAGTAAGATCCATCAGAGAATTAATGACACTTTCAGTCCTCAACTAGAGGTTTTCATAATTCAGCCCCATCATAGCCCCCATCATAGGCATACTTCAGTCTCGAGAGACTATGGTAACATGCTCTGTATGGAAGATTTGGAACAGCGTCTAGTGTTTTGACGCTGTACACGAAGCTGGAGTGTCCTCTCCAGAGCACGAAATCTGTTTAAAATAATATGGAGGATAGGCTGTTACCCAACCAGCAAATCCCCCCTCTCCACATTGCTGAAATGGTCCAATGGAAAGGCAAGAGCCAATACAACTGGTTCCAGCAGCATCGCAGAGTTGGCAGAATGACAGGAGCTGCCTCCGGGACTCCGGCTCCGGATTTTGCCTCAAGGTTAACTCCTGAAGCCTTTCCGCTGCCTCCCGGACTCCGGCTCCGGATTTTGCCTCGAGGTTAACTCCTGAAGCCTTTCCCATCAGTGGATATAGCCACAAGGCAGTGGAGGTTTGAAATCAGAGTTTTCCTTCTCTTAGATGGGCTGCCTTCCAGGGCTAACGAGTCCCACCTATCCAGCTTGTTCCCTCACGCCCCCATACATTGTGGGATATTCAATAATGATGTCTTCCCCACAACACAAACTCCATCAGTCAAGCAACCATGTAAAATATCAAGACTGACATTCTCAGCCTCCTGATCATGACAAATGTGAAGTGCATGTCTTTTAACACTGATTCCATAAATGTTTTTTATAGGTCCCTTTCCACATAACTGAGCACATTTCTTGTCACCTTGTCTGGGAAGGCCAGGTCAAAGTAGCATGTCTTTCAACACTGACTCCATAAATGTTTTTTAATAGGTGCCTTTCCACATAACTGAGCACATTTCTCATCACCTTGTCTGGGAAGGCCAGGTCAAAGTGGAAAGACATTGCACTTCTCCCTCACAAGGGAATGCCATGGCTGTGGACCTTTCTTCTCAGAGCCCCTCCCCTCCTCCTCATGGACTGACCTTATCTCAGTGGGTCCTCTGAGGTAGAAGGCCACAGAATACCAAGACCAGCCATGGCGCTGGCTTCCTTTCGTGACTCATAAATGCCAAAATAAATCTGTGTGAGCACCACCACCTCCAGCAGGGGTCTCCTGTGTTTTTTAGAGATTCAGGTGCTTTTAACGGAAGTTCCATGTCACTGTCCTCCCCTGGCAAATGTGAGTTCAGTTCTGGCTTACAGATTCAGGTGCTTTTAACAGAAGTTCCATGTCACTGTCCTCCCAAACCACAGAAAACTGAGTTCACATCACTTTCCCCCTGGCAAATGTGAGTTCAGTTCTGGCTTCAGTTCCTATCATGGAGGCTAATGGAGTCTTAGTAGTAAACAAGCCCAGTCCAGGAACAGGCTTGGAGCCTTTTAATGAAGGCTGGTAAAAGTAGCTGGTGGTAGGTGATGGTTGTCCTCTCACTCCTCATATAGCCTCCTCCTTCTCTCCTGCTTGTGTTTGCATCAACAGTACCTCAGTTGCATAGGGGTGGGTCCTGAGAGACCTCCTGGGCACCTCAGGCACCGTAGGGCTGCGGGCACAGGAATTGACTTAGCTTCCCTTGGCTTCTGCCCCTCAACACAAGCACTCTGGTCTCTGGGACTGGAGTGGATGCCGTTTCCTGGCTTCTTCCTCTCCATGCCAGGAAACTACCCAAGGGCTCTAGCCAGGGCTCGTTCTACAGTCCACCAGTCAGGTCAGCTACACACAAAGGATGGGCTCCAGCTCTGATGCTAAGTCCAGGTTTCATTCTCCTCTGTGGATGCTACATCAGGCATCCCCGATCTTAAAGTCCACACCAAGTCTTTGCCCTCCTTTAGTCCCTCTTCCATGCCCACCCCTTGTGCTCCCAGGTGCAACTTATCTCCCCCTTCTCTGTAGGCACTTACACTTCCCTCCTGCCTGCCTCTTTGGGAAAAAAGAGCATCACTCCACCCAACTCTTGTGGGGTGGGGAGGGCTAGAGCAGACAGTGGTAGCAACACCCTCGCAACTTGCCATGAGGTAAGGCTCAGGTGAGGCATGAGTTGATACATGCTGCAACGTTGTGTTGTGAGTCTTGGTATTAAATGAAACATGGACAACCAAGGATCAGAGAATGAAATATGCCATTCATTGATTTGAGATCATTACAAAGTAGATGGAGCTGGCATTGAAGTTTGGCTGTAA